AAAGGTAATTCAGGCTGATGCACAATAAGGACATGCTCACCTGCTACATGTAGATTTCATTTGTGTATACTTCCCGATAATGACATAAACGGCAGATTTCCTTCCAGCTGGAGACAAAAGAACCTTTTTATTATACATGTAATTCACTTTCAGTGTCCAATAGACCTGAGGCTCATGGTGATATTAATAGATTTCACAAGCATTGTAAAAGTGACATCACCCCAGAAAAGACTGAACGCATAGTGAAACACTACTTCCCGACTTCAACTGATCTAATGCAATCAGGTCAGGATACTTTCTGGGAATTTGGGCATATCACATCCCGACACACATCACATCCCGAATTAGTCCCTCATTAGTCTCCAGGTGCAAACCAATCACAAATGCATGAGAAACGGCACAGAGAGCATCATCACGGCCCAGTGATTCAGTAACTAAGCAACACTGAACATCCTCATCGCTAATAATAATTTACTGGTCGATCTAGTAGGAATCATTGCTATTTTTGATGAATCTGATGTTTTCTCCTACCTGCAGCTCTCCTGTTTGCATCACATCTGGTTAAATACTAAGCTAGCAAAGAGAGAGTTTGTGACTTCAGCTTATTCTTTTGGTATTTTTAAAAAATGTCAGGGATCTTAACCAGATCTTATGCTTCCAATATATTATAGGACTTTTCAGAATGATAAATTGAGTCAAACTCAAGTTATTCATAGCATCAAATAATCAAATAATCAATTTGGATCATTTTTAAATTGAATGACTTAATCATTAAAACCACTCCTAGAGTACGGCCCCAGCTGCACGGTGTTAAACTCTAATTTTAAAGGGTTAGTTCACCCAAAAATGAAAATTCTGTCATTAATTACTCACCCTCGTGTTGTTCCAAACCCGTAAGACCTTCGTTCATCTTCGGAACACAATTTAAGATATTTTTAATTAAATCTGAGGGCTCTCTGACCATCCCATAGACAGCAAGGTAACTACCATGTTCAAGGTCCAGAAAAGTACTTTTTTGCGCAAAGAAAACAAAAATAACGACTTTATTCCACATTTTCGTCTCTACTGCGTCACTTGTGGACGCGCGTTCACGACAGTATCATGATGCAAGCGTGTGACGTCATCACTCCGGATCTGGGTCAGCGCCGGCGCAACAACACAAGGGTGAGTAATTAATGACAGAATTTTCATTTTTGGGTGAACTAACCCTTTAAACTGTGGCCATGCAAATATCATCCAATTTGGCCACAGTTGGAGCGTGACCAAAGTATAGGACTTCAGTCTGACCCCAAATTTAGGTTTTAACTGCAGCTAATACAACACTTTTGCAATGAAGATGGACCTTCCTATCAGCGATGGCGCTCACTTAGCTGTAGTTATTCATGAGTCGCATAATTCTATTGTGAACATAAGTCTTATCAATCAAACAGGAAAACTACTCAGATGTAAAATGTCTAATGCATCGTAATGACACGTATTCAATATTTTTCATATATCATGGAATTGCCATCACATTGCGCATGGCACACTAATTTATAATTTCTAGCAACTGCTTCGTTAGGCAGGGGTATCATATTCCTTTATTACTGACAGGTTATCTATCTCAATTAATTTGCAAAGCAGCCAGTGGTCTTAAGCCACAGCACATCATAGCCAGACAAGATGCATCATTAAATCATCATTTTGTTTGTTATCTTTATTCCTTCTCTCGGTTATTAATGAGTATTAATTATGCAACCTGCCTGAAGATGATGGTGTATGTCCTATGCCGTGGCACAGCAACGGAGATTAATTAATTTGAGTAAATGAGAAACCCATCTTCCTATTTTTTTGTAGCTTAGGCACAAACTAAGCTACTCACTGAATCCAATGTTTCTCCAGAGAAAACATCATCTAAGAGTTTACAGAAGCAAGTACACAAATGACTGGACACACTTCTAATCACCACAGAACCTTTTAATTAATCTTGATTAGATTATATATATAAATGGATGATATTATGATTTCTTCTTCAAAATATAACATATTCCAGACTAAAATTATATTTTTTGTTTGAACAGTCCGACATGCCAACTTATAGCTTAGTTCAGTGGCGTCAGTTTGTGGCAAATTCTGTTTGGTGTCATAGTTGTACGGAAATTAAACACTTTGCCTTTAAATGCCAGCTGCTTAGACTGAAGTGCATCTGTCTGCGAGACTACAAATTACTCCCACTACAAATTAACCATCTATGCCAACAACCATCGCAAAGAAAGCATAATATAATATATGCACACCTAAAAGGACCTGCCAGATATTGCAAATACAACAAAAAACTAGCCACTAACAATAGTCATTCTGATTATTAACCTCTTAACTGTCAGAAAAAATGTGCAAAAATTTTACCTTTAGGGGTATAACAGCTTGTCAATGGAGCAATAATCTCAAAGGGAAACATTTGTATATCTTCTTACCCATAAAGGGTGCATTTACCTTAGAGTAGTAATATGTACCTTTAAGGTAGTAATATCTACTCTTATGGTACTAATATGATTGTTTTTATATATGCTTTTTAAGTCTCTTATGCTCATCATCGCTGCATTTATTTGGTCAAAAATACAATAAAAACAGTAATATTATGAAATATTATTACAATTGAAATAACGGTTTTCTATTTAATATTTTTCAAAATGTAATTTATTCCCGTGATGGCAAAGCTGAATTATCAGCAGCCATTACTCCAGTCTTCAGTGTCACGTGATCCTTCGGAAATCAATCTAATATGCTGATTTGCTGCTCAAGAAACATTTCTTATAATTATCAATGTTGGAATCAGCACAACTGCTTTCAACATTGAAAATTTTTGTAGAAACTGTGATACATTAAGTTAAAACGCTTTAACTTTGGCAGCATTACAAATAATACACTTCAAACCACGCTCACTAAAGAGTGCTCACTTAAAATAACCATTCTGTAGTGGACGTGGTTTGTATTCTTACAGGGCTCTTCAAATATTCAACAATATATAGACATATACAGGGGTCCTTTTGAAGCAAGCAAATATTTTCAGTGAAAAAGTATCTGAAATTATCTCAAGTTTGATTTCTAAACCTAATGGGACTGGACTCTGTTATAAAGCAGCACTGGTTTCTCATATTATTTTCACATTAAGGCTCCTAACCACATTGGCATTCAGCCTGTGCATCCAATTACCTAATTTTGAGACTTCGCAGTAAATAAATAATGAGTGCAAAAATAAACAAGTCTTTAGGGGATTGCTGGACCCATGCAAGAAGGCGTTTGCAGTCTTGAGCAGAAACCCAACAGCGGTGAGACAACCATTACACTGTGCAGCATAAATGCAAGCCCAGAGGGGCCTCATGGGTGAAGTGCAGACTGTCCAGAGGCCTATAACTTTCTTCTTGTGCACATGCAGGTGGCTAAGAACAACATTTATATGCAGCATTACCATAGTGAGGCTGGCTTTCTGCATTAATGCACTACTACTCTGCTCCCTTCCTACCAAGGCCCTGAATATTTGAAGAAATGAATAAATAATAGCAGACTCAGCCCTGCGTGGTGGGCACTCGCCATGATTTGTGGGACCCCCTGACGAGCAATGATTATGTTTCCCTACCAGGAGGTGCAGTATTTTCTAAGTGGCTCCATGCAGTTTGCGGCTGTTGATTGGCACAGATAACTGTGCAACTGAAATAAAAGACATGGGAAAAATGGTTATTTAGCAGAGAATTTCATCTGATTATTTTCAGTACCCTGCTTTCCTGGTGTCATTTGGGCATAAACGCCTTGGTCAAGGGCACAAAAGTGATCTCAATAATTCCAGTTTTCTAAGGCTAAGCAGACAAATTTGAGATGTACTGACAATCTCTGATCATGTACTGTAACGGCTTATATATCCAACTATATATATATATATTTTTTTTAATTTTCTTATAGCCAATTTCCCTCTATGGATAATTCATATAAATGTCCATACTGTATGTTCCTAAAGCATATGTCCAGTAGTTGGAAGAACCTGATGAAAACATAGTATTACATGGCCTAAATTACAAGAGAACTGAATAATAGGACAAATATCTTCCAGTCACAGGTGTGTGGGAACAAAAGGAAAAAAGGAAGAAAAAACAGCAGTTGACGTTCTTAGTCGACTGCAACTTAGTCTTACAGGTGAGTGTAATCGAATGCACCTGATCTAAGTAATAAGCCAGATGCAATTAACAGGAATAATGAGGCATAAAAATGCATAATTTCACATGGTGATGATGGTGGGGGATGGCTCTGTATTTTACCCTTGGGTTCTCAGTTTCGCTCTGGTGAAATTTGGGCATTTATAATTGCATCTGACTCACACAAAAAAGAAGAAAAAAAAAAAAAAATGTTAATGCACTGTCTCATTCGCCTACCTCACAATTGCTCAGAGAGAAAAAAATGATCATTTTTATGATGATATGGCAAGCTGGCTGTTGACACCAATTTATAAAAATGAGTGGCAGGGGGCCTCTGTGGGATGTAATGATGATTGAAAAGCTCTGATTGCCGATCACAACTTTGGGACGGTTACGCTGGAGACATCTGTGCCCCTTTCCTCGTCCTCTTTCAGAGTGCTGCAGACAATGGGCTGACCTTGAAAAATGCTAAACATCTATTTAAAGAAGATGCCATTAAAACAAATCCTTTGGCAATACAGATTATTACAACATATTTCAAGAGCGGAAGGTTTTTAATTGCAAGGCCACCATGTGAAGACATAAAAGATTCATAGCCTTGTACACAGTAACTACCAGACAAAGAAAGCTGCTTTCATAAATTGCAAAGGACAAAAAAACAGCAGTGCTTGCTCAGAATAATATGCAAACAACGTTTAACTGTTTACTTAATTTAATAAAGCATTAAAACCACATAATTAGTTGTCTATGTTCAGTTATTTGTTTATTAATCCACAAGCTGTATTCTTGTGAGCCGAAGCTGGATATTATTTAAGGAGAAAGAAATAGACTCACGGTCTCCATAGCAACGGAGAGGTCCCACGGTCAGCTTGGCCTCTGAGCCGGGTCGATTTGTGTCCCCAACAGCCACTTGGCTGACCGGTAAGTGGTCTTTATATACCAGAATCCCGGAATCATCCCTCCTACCAAAAAGTATAATTCATAATAAATTATGATGAAAAAAATAAACATCTTATTTTCATTTTTTTCTGCATCATAGTACTAAACCTTAAGAATCTTAACTCTCCTTGTTGACAAGATCTAATAAACTCATTAAAGCTTTAATACGTGTTTGTTTTCTCTCAAAAGCAGCCCTCTGACACTGATGACTAGCTGTTTAATTACAGCAATACAATTTGTTTAATCAGTGGAAACACTCACTGCACGTATTTTGCAAAATTAGTAAACATTAGTGAACACACACATACATAAACCTCACAGGTACATGCACTATGTCTGCATTACTTTAATGCCACCATCTATCACGGTGCCAATGCAACCGCAAAAGTCATTTAAAAAACAATTATATATCGCAAACCTGTAGAGGAAAAAAACCACCATCAACAATGTGGTTGGGAATGAAACATGCTGCTTTGAAATCCAATGTCCTAATTTGTATCCATTATGCATGGTGGTTCAGTTTGCTTGGTGTGTATGACAAGTGGCGAGGGCATCGCAATAACCCGCTGTCCATCTGTGCATGGGCCATTAACACATATTACTGTGTGTTCAGCTAAACCAGCAACAGAAGCAGCAAAATTCTCTCTTTCCAACAGTCTAGCTGTATAAATATTCACAAAATGTATCAAAAACATGATGATGATGAAGAAATCCATCAGGAAAACACAAATACTAATATGCTAATAAGATACAGCTCACTGACTGAGGCTATGTGTACCTTAAGAATATAGTATTAAAAGATCATTTCCAAGCTCTTAGCATAATGAAATCCGTGCAAACAAACACAATGTACATTATACAAACACAAACACACAGTTACCCAGGGGCACATAAAGTCTGTTTGGTTATAACTTTCTACCAATCCATCCAATACACTTCATGTGGAGCGCCAATGCTTACAAATGCCTGATAGTCTATAGCTGTTCCAAAACCACACAGAATGTGTTTCTGCATTTAAAAATGCAAGACGCAGGAGTGTCGAACCACGGTTTTAGATTGCAGTGTCATGTGAGAGATGCTGCAAACAGGAGTGCATTGGTGAAACACATTTGTCTAGAGCATGTTTACATACAAAAACAACAGAAAAGAAGTGCAGTAGAATGCAAAAACACATCCAGTGTAAATGGCCCCTAAGACGGCAACCTCTCATCGATCCTTATAAGTGAGCGATTTGAAATGCTCTACATACTGTAGGTATCAACTCCACAAGCCACAGAAATAGTGCTTGGCACAAGAGAACACAACACAACAACAGTCTGACGTTAACATGTTGCTAAGTTAATGGTGTAATACTCTGATATGCATAAAAATGTACAGGACAAGCAAACACTGGGCAGAACAATTTTTAATTACACTGAACTATTTTTTTCAAAACTTTTCAGCATGAATGATTCAGTACTACATGTGAGCACTAATGGATTAACTGGTTAGCATGGTCTAGTTAATTCCTGCACTAATGTACAGTTAATGTACAGTTAATACAAATAGATAGATTACTATTATAGTATTTTTTAAAAATTTGAGCAAGTTTTTTTGTATTAAGTTTTAATTTTTAGTAATTAGTATGTGGTTTTGTCATTTTCTATAGCTTTAATCCATTTTTATTTCAGTTTTTGTTTTTAGTAATTTTAGTACTTCAATGTCAGCTTATTTCTGTTAGTTGCCAAGTTTTAAAATTAATATTTATTTAATAAATTACCGAAAAAGTTTCAGTTAAAGGGGATGTTTAATGCCATTTCATGCATTCTGAGTTATTTACACCGCTAAAGAGTTGGATTCTCATGCTAAACATGACCAAAGTAAAAAAAAACAAAAAACAAGTTGGACATATAACAGAGTAGTGCCAAAGGCACTCCTTCAGGGTTCGTATAAGTTTCGGAAAGTTTTTTTTTTGAGTATGGCCCTGTATGACGTCAATAATTACTCTATAGGTATTCAAGATTAACATGAGATTGGCAGAAACTGTTTGTGTTATGTCCGCTTTAACCACAAAGGTTACAACTGTAGTGCGGGTCTTTGTGCATTCTTGTGGTGCTATCAGCCAATCAGTTTTGTCGTGATGTTATTATGTTGCAGATGCACAGTCTTTAGTTATATCTGACATATATTGTACTGCTCAGGTGATTGGCTCAAAATACAACTGTGCTCAGATCTAAGGCACTATGGTAATGGTACTAACAGACTTTCTCTCTTCTTCTCTTTGCAAATGTAAGATTGAGTTTGTTGTATTAAGGTAGATTGTTTATCTCTCTGTTCTTTAACAGCTGACTGGCATTAACAGCTACCATATAAAGACCCATTAGAACGGATGTAAATGAATGCGTCTCAAAGCAATACATACGCACATGCATTACAGACAATTCTATCAGGGTGTCTGATGAATGACCTTGTTCCTCTCCTTTGCAATATCCCCCACAGCTCTCTTTAGTAATAAAGCCACCAAACACACAAGCCAGAGCTTTTGTTGATGGAAATATCAGGGTTCGGCTCTACTTAAACTTCTTTATCAGCACAATCTGTTTGCCATTTGCACAAATGCTGAGGTCGAGACAACTGAAGAATACACAGAGACAATAAAGAAGATGGGAACATGACATACTTGTCTCTCTTAAGTTTGATAGGTGGGCTGAGAAGGTCAGTAAAATAGCAAATAGCAACTTAGTCCACAGCTCATAATTAGCTACTGGCTTTGTTGATTGCCATGGAAACAGCATATTGCTACTCAGATAATGTGTGGCTTACCACTGCTTCTGGTCGGCGTCACAGTTGCAGTAGTATTTGGAGTCGGTGCAGTTGCGCTCAATGCCACATGCACATTTCTGAATGCCCGGCACAGAGCCGCCCCAGTAAAAGTGCTTCTCGTTACCGCGGCCGACCCACCACGTGTAAGGCGTCCCATCTGCAGACACATAAGAGAGCAAAAACACACCATTTATAGTCATTATGTATTAATTTTAACATATACATATAACATACTGTATATACATATAACTATTAAATATTATGTGAAACATAATATGTTAACGAGAATTCCATCCATCGATTCCAAATGAATTCCAAGAAATCTTTGTCCATGGATGACTCTTAACATTCCACTATAACTGCATGTAAAAGAGACTGCAGATTATTCGAATACTTACATAAATAAATAAACAAACAAACAAATAATACTATGAACGCTTTTAGATCCAGCACAGCAAGCACAGAATTTAGAATTTAAAGAGTTTAAATATAAAAAGATTTTCAGTTTCAAAGTCAAGTAAAGGATGTAAACACGGTCAAGCAAGCTTTTTGAGTCAAGGACATTCTTCTTTAAATAGATCTATTTTGTTCTTAAAAGGCTGCTATATGCATAAATAGCACACACCAAAAATGCAACTATCCTTTTTCCAAATCTACCACATTTACATTACATATTCACACATGCATTTGGCAGATGCTTTTATCCAAAATGAATTTTTAAAAAGTTTAGAACTGCAAAGTTATTTTTCAAACCATTTCATGCATTCCATGGGAATCGAACCCATGACCTTGCCATTGTTAGCGCCATGCTCTACTGTTTGAACACCACCATAGCTACAGAATCTACCACAGGACTGAATCTCTGAACAGCTGCTTATAACATGCAGACAACAGTAATTACAGTGCTTGAGATTTGAAGAGTACTTTATGGTCTAGCCCAAAGATACGAGTACTAATTCTCTCTGTGTGTAAAGACACAACACGCTCAAAAGGATTAACACTTGGCTCTTTGGGAGCATGCATGGAGCTCTAGGGGCTGCTGGACTGCCATTGTCAAGGGCTGATGTGCGTGCAAATGCCCACATCTGCATGCACAGAAGGAAGCAAGACAATCCAAGCATAGTGTAGAGAGCTGGCAAGTGCACTGGAGGCATACACACACACAAGCTTGTGACTACAGCACACACTGTACACACACACACACACACACACACACACACAAACACACACACACACACACACACACACACACACACACACACACACACACACGCATGCGTACA